CCACCCAGCTGACCGCCGCCCCCATCCCCCAGCAGGCTAAGATCACACCACCCGACCCCCGTAACCCCCCTCATCCACCAACAAGCTTCCTGGCAGCGGACAGCACCACCAATCATCACTCGGTTCCCATGGCAACCTCCCCCGGCAACAGCCGTCACTATATCATAGCAGCAGCGGAGGATGTGGGGAGGACGGGGGGAGGGGGCCGGCCGAGTCGTGGCTCTCGGAGAGGAGAGAGAGGGGAAGAAAGAAAAGAGGAGGAGGAGGAGAAAAAAAAAAAAATGGAGAACACACACAGCTGCCCTTCAGCGACGTAGCATCGCACCAGCTGCTCCAGTCGCCGCTCGGCCGCGCACACACCCACAAAACACAGCGCTCGGCCTCCGAGATTTCGCATTCGCCTCGGCTTTGTCTGCATAACATTGCTGCCGGGCTTTCTCTTCATTCATTGATACATCTGTGGCCTTGATGTATTTTGTTCGTGCTCTGTCCTTGGACGCTTTGCTAACAAGTCTGGCTGTACTGTGCATCTGGCAGCGTCTCCATCTGTTAGTTTTGGACGCAACAGATTGTTAATGTGCAACTTTTTCTTTTATTGTGAAAGTCGCGGCTGAGAAACTGGGAGCTGTGGGTTTTTGAAAAAGTATAAGATTCCGCTGAACTGCTCGGCGGAGAGGAGCGTTGTGTTGATGACAAGAGCTGGGAAAAAGAGAAATGAACTTGTTTGTGTCGTCAGTTTTTTAGGCTGTCCACTACGACCATAAACCTGAACTGAAGTGCAGTAGATAATACATACTGTTTACAAAATCTGCTCAAAATCTGTCACAGTTTTCAGCTTTGATTGGTAAAGTTTTCACACAGAATGCCACGTCATTGATGATGAACTCAAGGACCATCAGAAAAAGGAAAATCTGATGATGCTTTTATGTAATTTTTCTTTTTTTTTTATGCCTTTTAAAACCTGCTGACGGGTTTTTTCAGAGGTTTCATAATTTTCTGTATTCAAACTGTTTGAAGCTTCTTTTTTTTAGCACATGAATAATAGGTAATATGTCTGTTGTGAACTTCTTCCTTAAATGTGGGAAATTATTCAGCTGAAATGATTTTCAATTGTAATTTCCAAATCTATTCCCTGCAAAGTCTGTATTGTCAGGCATCATTGGCAGCTTTATTTTTTTCTGTATTTTGCCAGAACAGTTCAAATTTACCTCCTTTATTCTTTTTTCTCTCTGCCGTTGACTCGTTTTAAAGGTGCAGATATTTTGTGTTGACTTATATTCTGTATCCCAATGCTTTTGCAGGAAACCCGTCATCACTCGGCTGTAGCTTGGGCGCCCTGCAGCCGCACGTCAACGCCGGTGGAGGTCAGATGTACCAGCAGCAGGTCCACCAGGCCATGCAGCAGGGGGTGGCCTCCCACCCGGCCTACCAGGGACAGCAGCACTTCTCTGACAACCCCCCCTACTCAGACAGCAGCAACGCCAACGCTGGCTCCATGGCCTGCCTCTACCAGAACTACCAGGTGGAGCTACACGTCCATCTCTGCAGCAACTGTTTAGTCTCTTAAAACAACATTTGTCATCATCATCGTTGCTTTTGTGTCCACAGCAGGGGATGTTGCCGCACCCACAGTTTGGGGAGGACCAGCAGCCCCAGGGCGAGGGGCTTCCAGCGGGGACACCCGGCTCTGACAGGGGCCCTGGTGGAGGCCCGGAGTCGGTGGATGCCATCTACAGAGCCGTGGTGGACGCCGCCAGCAAAGGCGTGCACGTCACCATCACTACCACCGTGAGCGGGACCACACAGGCGAGTCCGGTGCCTGCCCTCAGCGCCATGAGTGCCTTCACTGCCTCCATCGGGGAACCCGTCAACCTCCCCCAGGCTGTCAGCGCAGTCTTACATGGGCACCAGGAGGGGGAGGCGCCGCAGGCCCGGCCGAGGCAGGTGAGACCAGGGCGGGGTCAGAAGAACATGGATCCAGGGAAGAGCACTCCGGACGGCCCAGAGGCTAACGACTACTTCCGTTCTCCGGGTCGCGGGACTCCCAGGGCTCAGTGGGACGGAGAGTCGCAGCACAGCAGCGGCTTCGATGCGCACAGCAACAACAGTGCCTGGGGGGGAGAGGAGTTCCTGGAGTGCTCTACCCAGGTGAGAAGTAGTCCCTGCATGGAGAGACCCGCCAGCCTGGCCCCGGCCCCACCGTGTCCCACCGAGGGCTCCAACGACCACGGCTTGGCCATGGCCCACGACAAGGCCTTCCTCGACGACGCGTACCGGTTTAACAACTGCAGCCGGACGCCCGCCAACTACAAGGAACGTCTGGAGCAGACGGTGGAACGATGCGCCCACATCAACGGCGCCACGCCCCACTTCAACACCCGGGGTTACGGCGAAGTCCTGGGGCCCCCGCGGCAGGACCTGACGGGGGACGACCAGTCGCCCAGCTCCTCCACCAGCCTGGAGGGACCTCTGGCCACAGCCAAAGACTACAGCCACTACAATGGCCACTTCAACGGCATGGCGCCCAGCCCCTCGGACACAAAGAGCCTGAGCAGCGAGGAGGACCTGCGGCAGCCGGACTCTCCCTCGTCAGAGCTGCTTCACTACCGCTCCAGGACCTTCAACATGGGAGAGCTGGTCTGGGGCCAGCTGAAGGGCTTCCCACCCTGGCCTGCCAAGCTGGCCGGGGACGAACAAGTGCACAGCGCTGCTATGCAGCTTCGGGAGCAGGCCAAGGTGAGAAACCAGTGTAGTCTGACCACCTGTCATGGTTTCAGCAGCCAACTTCTCACACTGAAGAGTGACGGCACATTTCAGTGGCTGGTCCACTTAACAAAGTTACTATTGTTGCCTGTTGAGCCAAAAGTTTTATTGAGTCTTCAGTTACAGCAAATTATTTTCCAGTTTGAGCGAGTGGCTTGCCAGTAAGTCAAGATGATAGAATAACTTGTATTTGACTGTAACTAAGTTGACTGCAGATGGAAAATTATTGCAGCACTGAAAAGTCAGAAGGAAACAAGCTTTTCTGTCCACCGGCCATCGTGGCAGATGGATTCCAAAATGCTCCAAACACATCCAGCCTTTTACCTGCCAAATCAGAACTGCAGAGTAGAAAAGGTCCCGACTGCCAAATTAACTGGTAGACACGACAAACTGATAAACTGCAGTCGGCGTCGGGGTCTGTTGGTTGGCGGGAAATTCTCAGTCTGTTCCTGAGCAGTCCTGAACGTGTCTCGTCTCCTTACAGGTCGAGCCAGAGAAGCTAAAAACACTAACTCACGACTTGGAGGCGCTCGACCGAGCCGCCAAAAGAGGCCTGAAGTGAGTAAACCCGCCCACCATATTGTTGCTTCAGTAAACAGCAGCAGTTGTAAATGTATTATTGGGTAATTCATGATATTTGACGGAGTTTGAACATGCGGAAAGTTGCAAATTGAAATCTGGATGAGGTGTTTTCCCCTGAAATAATTGACTTCACCCCTCTGAACTCCAGTTTCTGAGCCCTTTTTTTTTTTTTTCTTTCCTGTGGGCTCATTTTTCACTGCAACATAAAGTCCTGCACCTTTGTAGAAACAGAACAACATGACTGGAAGTAGAGAGACTTAGAAATCTCTCCTGTGCTGGATGGCACAGTTTTAATGGTAGAAATCGTAATTGTGAAAAAACTAAAGTCAATTTGAAGTCTATTTATGATATAAAAATAGCTGGAATCAACATGTAAAACATTCTTTCCCACAGGTTTTACCAATACTGGAAAAAAAATGCTGCGTCGACGTTCTGTATTTTACATTTTTAGTATATCTTGTCGTCTGTGTGCTCTGCTGAAACACTGCCTGCAGTTCAGCCAGAATTCCCAGAATTTTTGTCAAATCATTTTTAAAAAAAATTAGACTTTTTTTTGTTGAACTATGATCAGTTTTAATTTCTTTGATTTTTTAGTGACAAGTGTTACCAATACTGACAAAACGGTGTCTCTACATAATATAAATATTGAACTATTTACATTTTTACAACCTTTTCCAAACTTTTTATTAAATCTAGAAAGATGTTTCTTGTATCGTCCACCATTTTGCTCCTCTGTTCACCGTTTCTGAGCCGTGCCGCATTTATTTTATTGATCCAATTGGTTTTGTTTTCCTTTTAGATTGCTTTCTAAACACTTCCTGCAGTTCATCCAGCTAGTCATTTCATTTTTGTCACACGACTGTTGTGTCATGGCACCATCACTGCGCTGAGGAACGCAGAGTTTTTGGAGGAAACAGTTTATTTTTTGCAAATTTTAAAATCAGACTTGCAGAATAAAGTGATTTTAATAAAATATCACCATTTTAAGCTTGGATTGGATGAACTTTCCCGATTTCTTACATAATCAGTGGTTCTTGTAGCAAAGTTAAAAATCCAATGATCGTTTTTGTTTTTACAGACTCTGGCTCTGATAATCACTTTTATTTTTAAAGATAACACGTCTTTTGAACCCTCTGCCGTCTTCTGTGGCTCAGATGGTCGCATGGTTTCTTTGTTGGGGTTTGTCCAGGGCTGCATTGACACCTAGTGGTTAAAGATGGCACCCTGAAGCCTGTTTTTTTTTTTTTGTGTCACAGAGCAAAAACACTTGCCCGGTTGTATCATTTTCACTGTAAATAACGTAAATGTCGTCCGACAGACCGGGGAAACTGAATAATCACTTGGAAGCTGCTATCCACGAGGCCATGAGCGAGCTAGACAAGATGTCGGGCACAGTGAGTATTTCGCCGTTCTCTCGTGTTGCTTTAACGCTGCCTTCCTGTCCGGCGTTCACAATAACGTTTCTGTCTGTCTGCCATCAGATCCCGTCGAGGGATCGACAGGTGAAGCTCCCCAAGCCTAAGAGGAGGAAGATATCCAGATAACATTGAATGTGTCGGCCCAAGAACGTCCTCAAAGCCTTTCGGAGACTTCGTCCGTTCAGCCTTGATGCGATCTGAGCTCTCTAACAGGTGCTACACATGGACTTTCAGTGGTACATCGTTGTTCCATGATATCAACTTGACTTAATGACTGACCACAGAAGGTGCTGGAAATTCCAATCACCGATACAGTTTTAACTGTAGAGAAAAAAAAACAAAAAAAAAAGGAAAAAAAACAAGAAAAAATCCAGAAAAACAACAAAAACGGTTGCAATTTGTCTACAGCTCACTGAATTAACTATTTTTTTCTAGTATAAGATAGTAAAATAAACAAAAAAAAGCTACAAGCATTACCTTACATATTTAAGAAAAATAGACAGTCCAAATATTTCTGATACATTTTCAATATGTATATAGATAATCCTGAAATTTCATGCTATTAAGAATTGTATGTAAATATTGTACAATGTCATGTACAAGCGTACCTAATGCACATTTTATCTTTTATTGTACAAAAACAAAGCAGAAGAAGTGTACCAATGTCTTGGTTTCTATTCAGAAATGCGGTTGCATACGGCCGCATGCATAGGATAAATAAGAATACAGCCTAAAGCTTTTATATGATGAACTGTAAGACGTGCTGTTTTTCTTTCTTTTTTTTTTTTTTTTTAGGTTTTCTCTTCTTTTTTTTTTGTAAGGGAACAGCAGTGAAACAGGCATGAGTATATGAGTTCTCCATTACAACAGTCACTTCACACCAGTTACGTGTTCATTTTGTACCGGGGACAAAAAGACAAACGAACCAGAATGAACTTTACCAGCAGAAAGTGTTCAACGGCCGGACGAGTGTTGGTAAACCTTCATCTGCTCCACCAGTCGCCTCCTCAGCAGGAAAATCATCATCACTTTGTCCAGTTTGTGCGTAAAACAGCTAAAACGTGTGCGGTCGGCTGGTGAATTTTCTGGGTTTACCAATTGTTGTAACTGGCAAACAAAAGAAAGTTGGTTACCTGCCGATTGTTTTTGAAGGAAAAATCCACCCTGTGTTGACATTTTCGACATCTTCCAGGCTTTGTGCGACTGTGATCGCAGCTCAGGAGGAAAATATTTGGAAAATCAGTTGATATGTGAAGCAAAAACGATGAAAAACTGTTTAAATTTCTTGGTTTCCCGCTTCTTCTACCTATTAATGCAGCTGACGTAGTTTACAGCGACGTCTTTTTTTGGCGACATTTGCGTCAAATTTGCGTGACGATTAGCAAACAGATCGTGATTTGTCCGCCTGCTATACGGTTTATTCATAATACAAACGTGAGCCAGCATTGTTGTTTCAGCTGTCACTGTTTGAAATACATGAAAAACGCAACACAGTGGAACAAAAGCACCACCTTGGCCATCAAACAACTAATCAATTAATCATTTAAAGTCATTTTTTGTGAAAAAAAAGTCTAAATTCTCTGATTGCAGCTTCTTAAATGTGAATATTTTAGTAATTTCTGGACATTAAACTGAATATATTTGGGTTTCTGGGCAAAACAAGACATTTAAAGTCTTCATTTTTGGCTTTAGGATGAACATTTTTGACATTTTGTAGCCCAAACAGCTAATTGATTAATCGATTAATCCAGTTTTGCTGTTTTTTTCCCCAACTTTGTGATAGTAAACTGAAAATGTTTGGGTTTTGGAGGAAACCAGACATTTTTTTGTTTGGTTTTTTTTCCATCACTTCACCATTTTCTGACAATTTAGAGACCAAACAAATAATCATCAGCTGAGAAAATAATAGTCAGTGAATTTTTATGAACACAGCAGCTCAGTATTGAATCTTGTTGTTAGTTTCAGTCAGACTTTGAATGCGAGGATGCGTTTCTACATGCGTAATCTTCCTGGCAGAGCGTCGCTGCTTCTGTCTTCTGTCGTGTTTACATGCAAAAGCTGATTAGAAACCCGGTTACACGTCCGAGAAAGTGGGAGAGTTCTCGCCGCAGGAGCCTAATCCCCGATTACCGGAACCACGTTTCTCCCGACTGGCTCGCAGCAGAAGGACGACTGACCCGGCAACACCTCCATAAACGTTAGCGCGTCACCAAAAGCGCCGCGGCCGCATCGCGTTCTGCTCGTCACGGCGCCGAAATTGGTGTCCGCACCTCATCTCCGATCTGTTCCTCCTTTTGATTGCTGCCGAACGCCGGTGCAAATTGATGTTTCTAAAATAAGGCTCTTTGCTGTCGGCGTTTGCGGCCACAGAACCGCCGCCGTGGCTGTAATTTAACTTGGCTTCAGGGGGAAGAGAACACGAAAACACCAACCGGTCCTTGGGTGGATTTTTCCTTCGGCTCACAGATGACTTTCCGTCGTGATTCTCGTGCTTGTTTGTACAGTGACTTTTTTTTTTTTAATTTCTTTTTCCACGACTGTAGCCGTTTTTGTTTTTTTTTGCCACAACTATAGCTTTAGGTAGAGTAACCAACCTCTAGGTTATCAAAAGCAACACTAACTCAAGAGCGGTGGAAGCATTTCTTACATTTAGGGGCCTTGTGTTTTTATTTCTGATTTATTTTTGTTCTGCTTATTGATGTAAATTATTTATGTACAGTACTCCATATTTATTTTAAGCTTTACAAATATGCTAGATGGCAATAATACTACCAAGAGTTGAGAACTCAAGCCTTATATGTGTATATGTATGTTTTCTTTTTTTGTTTTTTTTTTAACAAGTGAATAGATCATGTATTCAGAGTCCATTACAAAGGTCATATTCCCTTTTATTTAAGAAGTGAGCATTACAGAAAACAGTTCTTTTTTTTTTTTTTTACAGTGAGGCTTTTTGTTACAGATTGTGTCATGGATTTCTTAAGTAAGTAAAGAAATGCTATTCATGAATATGCACGTCTGAGAAGGCAGACGGCGTCTTGTGTTGGTGATACATGCAGTTTTGTTATTTTCTTTTCAAACACTACAAACTCTGAAAAAGTTTGAAGCGGAGTCATCACTTGATCAGTCTGACAGTATTGGGAACTCTGGATCAACACGACGGCTGCTCCTCCAGATCAAAACCAACCAACAGCGACCTGAAATCACTACAGAATTATCAAGTGCAATATACCAATCGATGGCAAAGATCAACTGCTTAGAAACACTGCATCTCTGATTGTTTGAACCTTTTTTTTTTTTTGCTTTCCTGCGTCTTGGACTGTAATTTGCTGCCTGTTTTCTCCTTTTTGATGTGCACAAATAATCTTTTTTTTGTTTGTTCAGATGCTCTAACCTCGGAGCAGTGAAGGTAGTCATTCATTCGTAGCTTTACAGACAAAACCGACAGCTTCGTTTTTGATTTAACAAAAAATATCTCACCCTGAAACTCCAAACTCCCCCCTGAAAACGTTTACTAAAAAAAAAATGCCATTTACTTGAACTTTTCACTCTTTAGCGAGAAACTCAACCGTTACAAATGTTTTTTTGTTTTCTTCTGACGTGCAAATAACCTTAAAACCAAATAATACACTAAATAAACGAGATTGTCAGACAGCGAAACACTATTTTTAAAACATATCCACGGCTTTCGGATGTGCACGCAAACCTCGCAGATATCTCAAAACACGAAGCCTCCGAGTCAAATTCTCATGTCCGTGCGTTGAAAGAACCTTAAGTTGTACTGTATGTTCCGTTGAGATCGCTCACTGCCTTTGGTGTCGTGTGCACGCTGGGAAAAGATGGAGGACATTTTCGACGCATATTTCACCGTTTGCTCAAATGTGCTTCCGAATGTCCCGCTTTTTTTCATCGCGCCCACTTTTGAGAACCTCAGGAGTGGATTTATTTTGTTTGTTTTACTGTAAACTGTGGCACAGAAAAGCAGTTTGTTTGTTTTTTTTAACACAAAAAATGTGATAGTTGGAGAACACATGAGCTCTTTCGGTAAAGTTCATTCTGCCTCTTTTCCCGCCCCTCCTCCAGTTTTTTGTGCAATGACATGCAGGAACCCGGTCTCGTGTTGGGAACCCATGTGTTATGGATCTGTTCTATCAGTTTCATGTTGTTTGTGGTCAAGAGGTGGTCTGTGCAGTCTATTTTTTTTTCCTCCCCTCTTTCTGCCTGTGATTGTGTGTGTGAGGTGTGAGTGTGATTTATTTTTTTAAATTTTTTTTTCCAGTGTTCTGCTCTTTGAATCCCCTCCTCCACCCTTTTCGTTGTCAGTATTTTATTTCTTCAACTTGTAATTAAGTATATATTTTCTCACTAATATATACTTTACAAAAAATAGACTTGCGTGAAGTATGATGTGCACTTGATTGCTCGTTTTCTTTTTCTTTTTCTTTTTTTTTTGCATTAATGTGGGCTAGGGATAGTTTGTCCATTATTTTGAGATTGTTTGGACTTTTTTTTTTTTAATGGTTTGATGTAAGCAGCATTTTTTTGTAAATATTGTGAAACATTACAGGTCATGCAGTGATGTAACATTTTGAATAATGTTGCACAGATGTTTAAGATATTAAAAACATGGTCACTCTTACTTGAATAACCCGGTTTGCAACGTGTTCTTTATTGATTATCTTTCTTTGTGTCCTCCGTATTAGGTGTATTTTCAGTTTTAAAAAGTAGATTTATTGAAACTTCAGCCCAGTGTGGAACAAAAACATGAGTGTTTCTTGTTGCACACTGCCCTCTAGTGGAGGAACAGCAGAGCACACGTTTACTGCTAAAAATACAGTTAATAAAATAATAAAAAGTTAAAATAATGGTTGATAATATGGAATAAAAGCAGGCAAATAGATATTTAATTAACATACATCACTCGGTAGATTTATAAACAGACAAATAACGTGTGTTGCGTTTAATAACATGAAAAAAATAATGAATTTAACTCTTAAAATGTAATGAACACAATATTTTGTAAATATTTTTTTCATTCTGCATTTATTGTCTATATATTTTTTTTGGTATATAAATGATCGCTATTTACTTATATTAAAAAAGAAACATTTTTATTGCTTAAAAAAAAAAAAAAAAAAAAAAAGTGTCCCCATTTGGTCCGTTTATCAGCTTTTCCGGAGCTCTCACTCACCACGCGATCTATTTTTGAGGCCCTCACACGGCTAGCAGCCCATGCTAACTTCAGTTTAAGGGTAATGCTCTTAATTAGCGAGCCCCAGCTGAGGGTGAATACCATATGACAGGCTGAAAAGCTCCGGAGCAGCTACTAAATGGACGCTGTGGTGAGATTTTACCTTCAGTTTGAACTTCCGCTAAAAGCGGCATTTCTTGTAGCTCGTGTGCTAACGCTAGCTAGCGTACGTACGTTAGCCTAGCCTGTGATGCACAACACAAACACCTCTTTAAAAAATAGAAATGACTTTCTGCCGACTGTTTAATGCGACACAGGGGCAAACAGTTGGTTTGCGTCTTTTCAAGTCGGAAATTTCTCCCCAAAAAGCAAAATATCTATAAAAGCTCCTCGCTGGGTCAAGCTAAGTGCTAGCCGCTATAGCTTTAGCACAAACGAAGAACGCCATTACAGACAATGGTTCCTCTAAAAAGCGCTAATTTATCAGGTAATGTGTCAGTTTCCAGCTTTATGAATCGTGTTTTGTACATTTTAATGTTTTACTTTAAAAATATATATA